ACCGAGCATGCTAAATGACAATCTCGAAGGGAGGCCCTTGAGGAAATCCATGCTCGGGGTTTCGACCTATCAACAGAGATCGATAACGCCAAGGAGCTTGTAGCTAAGGCTAAAAGGTTGTTGTCTTATCCCGAGGATGATAATGACTCCGAGGGTTTAAGCGAGTCCAAAGGCGGGGAAGATTCCGATGGTGAAGATGATGCCCTCGATGAGGACCTGGCCACTTAAGCCTTTAGATGCTTTGTTTTTTGTTTTTTGCATTTTTGTTGAGGCCGTTCGAGTTTGTTTTCAGACGGCATTCCCCGAGTGAGAGAGTGATTGTTCGATCTCGGGTTAAGGCGGCCCTTTACCTTTAGGGTATCGGAAGTAGGGAATTCCTCAAGAAATGTAAATAAGAAATTTTTAAAAGACAATATGATTGCAAGGAACATAATTCTCTTTATTCTTATGTAAAACAGTTATACATGCGTACATGATTTATGCTAGGGCTCGAGCAATCTATGCGGGCACGGTTCGTTTGACCGTTTGACCCTTACAATAAATTCTACCTATCGAGACCCTTCTATCACGAAGTAATTTCCTTGCTAAAGTCGATATCCGAGGGTAATGACCCCCAATATTCGAGGTTGATTATAGAGAGAAACCTCGGATACTGTTGAAGCGATATTTAACATCGATTCATGACCGGTCTTCTATTCTAAGTTAGCACGATCCACTATTGCCTCGTTAAAAACCTTGCCGGAAAACCCATTTGGGACAAAATCGGTTCAAGGGAAAAAGAGTGCAACGCGTGCTTTCAGACCTAAAACTTTGTACGGCTCCTTGTCAGTCACCCGCAAGTGTTAGTTTGAAATATAAATAAAAGAAAATGAGTGGGGTTGTACCTTAGCAGTAGTATCGCTTTAGGTGAGTTACATTCCAATTGCTCGGTAGTTGTTCACCGTTCATCGTTCTGAGCTTGTAGGATCCTTTTCCGGTGATCTCGATGATATGATACGGTCCTTCCCAGTTCGATCTAACTTTCCCTCGTTCGGGTTTTCGGTGTTCACCGTGACCTTTCTTAGCACTAAGTCCCCGACGTTGAAGTATCGAAGGTTGGCCCTTCTGTTGTAATATCTCTCGATCCGTTATTTTTGGGCAGCCAACCGAACTAGGGAGGCTTCGCGCCTTTCATCCAATTGTTCCAAGCTCGTACTCATGGACTCATCATTTGACTCCTCTATTGCATACCGGAATCTGATACTTGGCTCTCCGACTTTAATCGGTATCAGAGCTTCGGCACCGTAAACCAATGAAAATGGTGTGGCCTCGGTACTGGACTTTGAGTTGTACGATATGCCCATAGAACTTCGGGTAGAATTTCTTTCCATTTTCCTTTGGCGTCGGTTAACCTTTTCTTGAGGTTTTGGTGTATGGTTTTGTTGGTCGATTCGTCTTGTCCGTTCCCACTAAGGTGATAAGGTGTTGATTGGATCCTTTTGATCTTGTGATCCTCGAGAAACTTGGTCACTTTCCTAGCGATAAATTGTTTCCCGTTGTCACAGACGATTTCGGATGGCATTCCGAACTAACATATGATATGGTCCCAAATGAAGTCGGTTACTTACTTTTCCCTAATTTTCTCGTACGCCTGTGCTTCAACCCACTTAGAAAAATAATCAATCATAAATAATATAAATGAGCCTTACCCGGTGCCCATGGAAGAGAGCCAACGACGTCCATTCCCCACTTCATGAATGGTCATGGCGATAAGACCAAATGCAGCAGTTCCCCGGGTTGGTGAATCATCGGAGCATGTCTTTGGCATTCATCACATTTTTGTACGAACTACTTCTCATATTTTTCCATGTCGATCCAGTAATAGCCGGATCTGATTACCTTTCGAAACCAATGATTCGGCGCCTGAATGATTTCAAGCAGGTGCCCTCGTGAACTTCCCTCAGAACTTACTCAGTATCTCCCGGTCCCAAACATATTGCTAGCGGGCTATCGAACATTCTTCTGAACAAGGTTCCGTCCTCTGACAAACTGAATCGGGCTGCCTTTGTGCGCAGTGCCCTCGATTCTTTTGGATCTGAAGGTAGTTTTCGAGTCTTCAAATACTCTACGTATTTATTTGTTTAATCCCAAGTTAGGTTTGTGGAGTTTATTGCGGCGTGACCTTCTTCTACTGCTGATCTCATGAGCTGTACGACTGCTCCCGAGTTGAGCTCGTCGTCTTCAACCGACGATCCTAAGTTTGCAAGGGCATCGGCCTCGCTATTTTGATCTCGAGGTATGTGCTGCGAAGTCCACTCTTTGACCCGATGTCATGTTACCTACAACTTATCTAGGTACCTTTGCATTCGTTCTTCTCTGTCTTCGAATGTTCCATTAACTTGGATCAGCACAAGGAGGGAGTCACACATAGCTTCGATCATCTCCGCCCCCAAGACTTTGGCCAATTTGAGACCTGCAATAATGGCCTCATATTCGACCTCGTTTTTAGTCAATTTCACAGTTCTAATGGATTGTCTATCTACACTTCCTGTGGGTGGCTCCAGTATGATACCGCGTCCGGACCCCTTTACGTTCGAGGCACCATCCGTAAAGAGGGTCCAAATTCTCGAGGATGTGCTCGAGTTTACCAATAACTCTCATTCAACCTCGGGTATTAAGGCCGACGTAAAATCGGCCACAAAATCTGCCAAAATTTACGACTAACGGATGTCCGGGGTCGATGCTCAATATCATACCCGCTGATTTCCACGGCGCATTTGGCCAATCGTCCAGAGAGTTTGGGTTTATGCATTATATTTTGTAATGGGTAAGTTGTCACAACACATATAGGATGGCACTGAAAATACGGTTTCAGTTTCCTAGAGGTGCTTAGCAAAGCGAGCGCCAGTTATTCTAGGTGAGGGTATCTAGTTTTTGCCTCACCTAGGGTCCTGCTAACATAATAAATTGGAAATTGCGTACCTTTTTTTTCCCGAACTAGGACCCCACTTACCGTTATTTCCGATACTGCCAAGTACAGGTATAATCGTTCGTCTGCCTTCAGTGTGTGGAGCAGTGGTGGGCTCGCTAGATATCGCTTAAGTTCTTCCAGGGCCCGTTGGCATTCATGAGTCCATGCGAAGTTGTTTTTCTTCTTCAGTAACGAGAAAAATTGGTTACTCTTATCGGAGGACCTCGAGATGAATCGCCCCAGGGAGGCAATGCGCCCGGTTAGCCTTTGCACGACCTTCACGTTGTCCACTACCATGATATTCTCGATAGCTTTGACCTCGTCGGGGTTGATCTCGATTCCTCGGATGGATACAATGAACCCGAGAAGTTTTCTGATCTGACTCCGAACGCACATTTTTCCGGATTCAGCTTCATGTTGTACTTCTTCAATATACTAAAGGTTTCCTACAAATTCTTTAAATGGTCCTCTACTCGCAAGGACTTAACCAATATATCGTAAATGTAAACTTCCATGGATTTCCTTATTTGTTCTTCGAACATCTGGTTTACTAGGCGTTGGTATGTTGCACCGGCATTTTTTTAACCCAAATAGCATTACGTTATAACAGTATGTGCCATACTTAGTGATGAAGGAGGTATTTTCTTGATCATCCGGGTTTATTCATATTTGGTTGTAATCGGAGGCATCGAGAAAACTAAGGATCTCATGGCCGGCCGTGGCATCGATCATGCAATAGATGTTAGCCAAAGGGAAAGAGTTCTTGGGACAAGCCTTATTTAAATCTTTATAATCTACACACATTCTCAGTTTGTTCCCCTTTTTAGGGACTATTACTACGTTTGCTAACCATTCCGGATATTTGACTTCCCGAATGGACCCTATTTTAAGGATTTTAGTTACCTCGTCCTTGATGAAAGTATGTTTGATCTCGGACTGGGTCTCCTTTTCTATTTGACCGGATGAAATTTCGGCTCCAGGCTTAGCTTGTGAGTGGTTATCTCCGTTGGGATCCCTGTCATGTCGAGATGGGACCAAGCAAAACAATTTAAGTTAGCTATGAGAAATTGAATGAGTTTTTTCCTGAGCTCGGAGGTTAACCTCGTGCCCAGGTATACCTTCCAATCCGGCCGATGTTCGATCAATGTCACTTGCTCCAGCTCTTCAACCGTTGATTTTGTAGCATCGGAATCATCGGGTACTATAAAAGATCTGGGAACTCCATAATCATTATCTTCATTAGTCTCTTGTTTATCCGATTGGATCGTGGCTGGTGTCGATAATTGCTATTTAGTTTCCTGCTTAGTATTCGAACTTGGTTCTTTCGATGTCGTCAGCATTGATACTAGAATCACTTCTTCGACTGCAAACATTTCCTTTGCGGCCGGTTGCTTCCCATAGATCGTTTTAATCCCTCATGGCGTTGGGAATTTTAACACCTGGTGAGGGGTCGAGGGTACTTCACTCATGTTGTAGATCCATGGCCTCCCGAACAGGGCGTTGTACCTCATGTCCCCTTCGATCACATAAAACTTAGTTTCCTGGATGGTCCCGGCGGCGTTTACTGGTAATGTTATTTTTCCCTTGGTAGTTTTGCAAGCCATGTTGAATCTGTTTAGCACTCGGGCTGCAGGCACGATTTGGTCCTATAGGCCGAGTTGTTCTACGACCCTCGATCGAATGATGTTGGCGGTGCTACCTGGATCAATTAACACACATTTAACTCCAGATTTATTCATGAGTACAGATATTACCAGTGCATCGTTATGGGGCTGCACGATTCCTTCCACGTCCTCGTCGCTGAAAGACAAAGTTCCTTCTGGTATGTAATCTCGAGTCTGTTTCTCCCTTGTGATGGATACTTTGGTGCACTTCAACATCGGGCATTGAGGAACATCGACCCCTCCGATGATCATATGAATAACTTTTTGAGGTTCTTCTTGCTCGGTTGGTTTATTAGAGTCTCTATTTCTGAAATGATTCTTGGCTTGGTCACTTAGGAATTCTCGAAGATGCCCGCTGTTGAATAACCGGGCTACCTCCTCCTCAACTATCGGCAATCCTCTGTTCTGTGGCCGTGAGTGCCATGATATTTGCACATCTGGTTTGGATCCCTTTGAGCTGGGTCAGATTGTAGAGATCTAGGCTCTTTGGTATCTTTGATGCATCCGATAGCCGATACGATAGCAGCAGCATCAACGTAGAAGTTATATTCTAACAAACTCGATGCTTCTTTCTGTCCGATAGGCCTGTCGAAACCATTCTTTTTCATGAATCCCCGGTTGTTCTTGCTTTGGTCATTTCTTCTTTCATTTCGTACGGAACTCCGTCCAAACCCATTGCTTCTTCGATCCTCTTTGTACGGCTGATACTGATCCATGTTCGACCTTGGTTCACGATAAATATCTCTCTTGACTCTGTCGACGTGTCTAGCAGGATAAACGGACCCGGAGGGAACTCCCGGTTGATCATCTTCAACTCTGATATTCGATTGATATCGATTATGCACAAACGCCAAGTGACAGCCAGATATTCTATCAGATTTTGCTTCAATTACTCTGAAGCCACCGAACTTTGAACATTGAGTCCCTGGGTAAAAGCTTGAACGGCCCAATCATCAGCGATCGGTGGCAAGTCCATCTGTTCCATTTGAAATCGAGATAAGAACTCTCTGAGTATTTCATTATCCTTTTGCCTCACTTTGAAGAGGTCCGATTTCCTGGTTTGGACCTTGATAGCTCCAGCGTGTGCCTTCACAAAAGAGTTTGCAAGCACAGCAAATGAGTCAATAAAATTAAGGGGTAAATTGTGATACCATATCATGGCTCCCTTTGACAAGGTTTCTCCGAATTTCTTAAATAAGACAGACCTAATCTCATCATCCTCCAAGTCATTTTCTTTGATGGAGTGATGTGCTCAGTCAAAGGAAGTGACGTACTCATTTGGGTCAGTCGTTCCGTTGTACTTAGGAATCTCGGGCATGCGAAATTTTTTAGGGATCGGCTTCGGAGCCGCGCTCAAAAGGAAAGGCTTCCATCTCCATCAACATTTCGAAGATCATCCGTAGATTGACCCGTCTCCTTCATTGTTACTCTATGCTGCTGACCGGGCTCCACCACAGATGCTATTCCCGGGGTTAGTAGGGAGGCTTGTGTCGATAGCCACATGCGAATTAGCATCCAACGGGTTCGTAATTGGAATTCCGACGGAATAAATGTGTGGTACCTCGTTACCCGGCGCTGTATTATTATTTTAACTGTGGTGACCAGATTCGCCGTTAGTAGGTAGAGGTGCTAATTGTGAGTTTGGCATTTTGAGCTTAAGCCTGAAATCAAAGACACTTCAAAGAAAAACTGAAAAATAGTGTGTGTTATGGAAATTTGTATCAAATAACTACTATTATCCTTAGCCCTACGGGGGGCGCCAAACTGTTTACCCTAAAAAATGGATAACAATTTATACGCAATTTTAAGGATACGTGATTTAACTTGATACAAATTGAGAAAATAGTTTAATATTTAAATCAATGACATAAAAGTGAATGCAAACCACACAAGTTGAACAGTGTTAGCCTTGAAGATTGGTCACCCCCGAGTCAGAAAGTGCCACAATCGATGTCAGAACAGAATAGCAAGGTGTTGATACCCAATTTTTCCCTGTATATTTTTTATATGCGAAATATCTTTAAAATAGCATATATACGCATATATAAGTATATCCAAGAATTTTTACTATTTTTCCCATAATTTTAAGGTTTTTAAAATGATTTATTTCCCTTTTTCATCTATAAAAACCCAATGATTATTTCCATAATTATTGTTTTTTGTAGTTTATTTATTAGAATTTTATATTTATGCTAAAATGTAGCTAACATAATTTTTGCATATTTTATAAATTTATTTGATATTTTTAAAGCTAAATTGCATATAATTGCAATTATAGCCTATTTTACGATTAACAGCATTTTACAATTATAAAATCATTTCCGGTATTTTTAGATCAATATTTATATATTATTAATTAGTTCAGTGCTTTTAATTTATTTTTAAAATCATTTTAACTATTTTTATAAAATAAAAGGGGGGGAGGGAAATTGGCTATTTAACACATAGCCCAATTCTATTTCAATTGTAGCCTCAATTTGACCCCCCAATTCCGCCCAAATCAAAATAACCCAATTTCAATTTTAACCCAATCCACGACCCGTTTTTAGACCCACCCGGCTTTCCCTTTAATCCTGGTCGTTGATAATTTTGATCAACGGCCGTGATTCTTTCATTCCATTTTTAATTCCCAATACCCCCTTACCCTAGTTCATTCTATCAAAGACGCCGCCTTTGAACTCTCTTCGTCTCCCAAATTCTCTCTAGCCTCTCCGAAACCCTAATCATCTCCTACCTATTTCTACCACAGTCCCACCGGAATTCATGGCATTCTGGCCAGGGGTGGCCTGTACTCACTCTCTCTCATCATTGAATCTAAGCTACTCGAAGTTTGGAGGCCCGACTTCAATGGCTCTCTTTAGATCAGCCTCAGATCTGTAGATCTATGGCCTCTCCGGCCATTTTCCCGGCGTGTTCGAGCAATATGAGTCTCTTCGACTCAGGATCCGACTTTCCTCAAGACCTTTCTCATTCTAGGGTTTTCTCTGCAACTCTAGGCCATCTGAGGTTCTATACTTACTTATTTTCTTAGATCTATGCCATGCCTGGTCTTTACTGGACGTTTTAAAGGTTTTCCCCAAATTTCCTCTTTAAAATTGTTCAATTTCAATTTTAGGGTTTCTGAAAAAAGGGATTTCTTCAAATTTTGATTCTTCCTGTTCCTTCTTTATGTGTGTTTTATGCTCGTATGTTTTCTTCTTACTATGCTCGAGTTTGTTCTCTTGTTTCTTTTCTGTTATGCAAGATTTTTCCGTTCTTTGCTGTCCCTCTCATGCTCACACATTAATTTGTGTTGTTTTTCCTTACTCTTTGCTATACATGTTTATGGTTGAGTTCATTGATCTTGCTCGCTTTACTAAGTTCTATTCGTGTTCCTACTGAGCATATTTTTTTTTCTCTACTGTTGTTTAAAAATTCGTATCCTCTCTTTCTTCTGAACTTGTTTGTATATACTTGTCTCTCGTGAGTCTTTGAAAAAAAGATTTCTGAGCCTCTTTCAATGACCTTGTTTTCTCACCTCTCTATCTGACTCAATTTGAAACCCTAAGATTTGGGGGTTTTCTTTGGGTATTTTGTATTAGGGTTCACTTTGGAACCCAAGGCTTTCAGACTTACTATGAGCCTGTATTTTAACTTGAATCTCTTTTGCCTGTGACTATGAAACTTTCAATGTTAGACTCTTTCTTTGTTTGAGCCGTGTGCTTTATACATGAGAAAACTCCTCTTTCAAAAGGTTTTCACCAACCAAGTGATTGATTCTGAAATCCCTTTAATAAGGCTAATGATTTATCACTGATTTTTTCGATTGAACCTCCTTTACCCTACTGGCTGTTTACTTGGTCTTTTTGTGTAAAAATCCCATGCTTGTGATGTTTTCCTTAAATACATGATCTTCTATAATTCTGTACCAATTTTTGAATTATTTCTACACTTATGTGACTCTTTCCTTTATTACCTTAATTCCCTATGATTACAATTGGATCCGGGATCCTTTTGATTGATTTTCGAACTGATGCCCTATTTTTACTTTATAAACACACTATTATTTCAACTTTCCTTAATTACCCACTATGTATTTGGCCTTGTTTATGCACTATGTGGTTTCTTTACCCAAATCAGCCTTACTGAACTGATTTCTTTTCCTTATTCTGCCTTGACTAACCGTTTGAACTAGACTCCTTAATTAAAGGATTCCGGTTGTCTTAATTGACACTAATTGATTGCTATTTCCATGTTTGTGCACTCTTTGCCTATGTACTGCTTGTTTTCAAAAACTATATCAAGACCTGTCTTCCCTCTTTACAAACACTAAGATTCATATGAACAAAAACACTTCTAATTACATACTTTGTTGCAATACTGTTTGAATTCAACACTTTGCTTTGCTTGAGATCTTTTGGAACTGCTTTGTTTGCAACTTGGCTCTCCCAAGGCTACTGTTTTCTTACTTGTTTTCCTTTGAAACTGGTATGTCTTTTATTTAAATTTTCTGCCTCACCCCTATGTGTTTACATTACAGTTTCAGCCTTTTTGTTTACTTTACTGCTCATGTTCAGTGATTTGTGCTAATTATGTTCCTTCCTTGCTTCTATTTCTAGTGTGAATCCTTACCCCTATTCCCTTCTATGTGCTTGAGTTAAGGTCTTGGCCTGGCAGTATCCTAATTACTGCCCATGCCATAACCTGATCCACAATGGATCCTAACTCTTAAGTTTGGCTAACAGGCTAGTCAGGGGTGTGCCAGCATCCCAATTGCTGGGCATGACCACCAGCCTGCCATGGCTCTCCTTGACTCCCCCTATGCACTTACACTCACTCTTAGACTCTAAGTTCTGCCCCCCTCCTATGAGCCTTGCCTTGGGACCTTGAGTTCCCTCTAAACTTGGACATCTGAGGGCTGGCATTTCCACACTATACTATGTTCTTAATTCTGCAATGTTTTGGGGTGTAAGCACTGCCCGTAGCCCTTTGAGACTCTTGGGAACTTTGACACACTCCAAATATGAGAAAGTCTTTTGGAAATCTGATCCTGTAAGTTGGCTTATCTCATATTGTTGGACTTTGAAGTCTAAATTAGGCTGTTTGGATGTAGCTAGAGCTTCTGATGTAATTTTACTTTTCTTTCTAATTCATTTGGGTCTGTAATAATTTGTAATAACAATTGTGGATGGCTAATGGAAAGGGATGGGGATGAATGCATGCAAAGGGTAGAAAACTTGCCTATAGGTTATTTATAATTTCTGCACTTCTGCATCATAGAACTCATGCCTATAAGTCTTTCTGCACTTCTGCATCGTAGAACTCATGCCTATAAATCTTTCTACACTTCTGCATTTCTGCATTTTAGAAAACATGTCTATAAGTCTTTCTGCACTTCTGTATTTCTGCATTTTAGAACTCATGCTTATAAGTTCTGCATTTCTGCATTTTAGAGATTATGCCTATAGGTTCTGCATATAGAATCATGATCTTAGGTTTTTCTGCACTTCTGCATTTACACGCCATTAGGCAAACAATTTTAGGCTTAATAATAACCAATTCATTCTAGATACCATGCCTATAGGACTCTTGCATTTATGTAACTTTTTAAAATCAATGACGCTTAGAGATCATGCCTATAGGAGCAAATCAACTGAATAAGCTTCGTTTTGAATCTAGAATCAGTCATAAGTCTGCAGAACTTTGTTGATAAAACCAGCAAACTTTTTCCTTAAAATCAATACGTTCTATTAGATGTCATGCCTATAGGCCTCACTTAGGCAAACTATTAGGTAATTAAGTAGCTGTGTCAGTCTTTGATAACTACATCTAGACAAGGCTAANCAATATGTGTTAATAGGCCTAAGGGTGTGCCAGCATCTCCCATTGCTGGGTATGCCCATCAGCCTGCTTTTGCCTATTGCAACTCCCCATTCCCTATACCCTTATGTGTACTGAATTAAGTTGTTTCCCTTTTCCCTTTCCCCTTTCAGAATTCCACTTCTGCACTTGCACTCTCTCTTAGTCCCTAAGTTCTGCCCCCCTCTTGTGAGCCTTACCTTGGGACCTTGAGTTCACTCTGAACTTGGACACCTGAGGGTTGGCCCTTCCACACTGCACTATGTCTTAATATGGTAATGCATTTGGGTATGAGCACTGCCTGGAGTTCATGTGAGACTCTTAGGGAACTCTGACACACCCCAAATGAGAGAAAGGCTTTGAAATGTGACCTCTTGGAGTTGGTTTACTTCATACCTCAGACAGGATGTCTGAATTAGGCTCTCCTTGGTTGTACTTTTTCTGATGTATTTTCTTTACTTCTTCTTTTTTATGGGCTGTGATAACTTTGTAATAAAACTCTCGGGGATGGCTAGTGAAAAAGGGAAGGGGTAACCATGTATGCAAAGGGTAGATAACATGTCTTTAGGAATCCTGCATTCTCTCATATATAGATACCATGTCTTTAGGAATCCTGCACTCTCATATATAGATACCATGTCTATAGGAGTTTCTGAATTTCTGCA